GGAGTCATACCAGAGGTAGGAAAAACCACAGTAAGAATATTCACAGGAAATGGCATATCTCAAAGGGAAAATATGGACTGTCTGGCCACAGATCAAAGCAGTGATGGAAGCAATGTTTAACAGAACAAGGAGTGAGTGTCTTTGTAGCTGTATTTAAGTGGTCAGCGTGAGGGGTAGTCTTTAAATTAAAGGGTCAGAAATGGAAGGTTCAAGATAGCTTCAATTTGGAAATTTATTAAGTTTGAAAAAATAACAGAATTTTTTTTAATCCAGAAATGATAGGACCTCAGAGTCAAGGTAGAGGGGTGCACTCAGGGATTCAAGGGCAGTCACTACCTGGGCATTGACAAGTGAGACTGAATTATAAGGGAAGGAAAGGATTGATGACCAGATAGGACTGATTCTTATTAATAACAGCGAATTCTGATCATAACTTTCACTGCCCTATGAGAACTAGGTAAAGTGATTGATTTAAGATAATCACTGTAAGAGACAGATGAAAATTAATTATTAGTGACAACCCCAATCATAGAAAGTTTCCAGACATTTCAATTGAAATGAGTTGGATAACACCATTTATCCCTTGCATTTTTTTTAATAAATGAGAAAACTGCAGTTCAGTACTATTGAATAATGCATGCAAGATTTCCTCATTGGTGTTCAAATCAAGAGGGTGCACAAAATTTTCTACAAGACGTGGAGTTTTGTTGTTAAGATTAAGAACTGATGAAGCGATGTCATTTTTTTTTTCTTTTTTAAGGGAAGAGATGTCGAGAAAATGGTTGGATTGGACCATGACTTCCTTTCAAGTTTTATGTAGGGATAAAGTACCAGGTAAGTCTAGTGAATGTGAAATCACATGAATCATGAGTATGGCTATGTCCCTGGGCTCAAGCAGTAAGTGGAGAAAGGCTTTAAATAATGAAAGAAATGAAGGAAGGCTGTTCATGAAGATGATCGAGTGTAAGGGAAAAAGACACTCAGCATAGTTTGGGATACCCAGAAATATGTCAACTTGGCAACAGTAAACATGACAAAGATCAGGCTGGGAGAAACTGGAACGAGGGTCAATTAAATAATGAAACCATCATAGGAGCAGACTGGTGAGAAACCTAGGGAAAAACATTGAAGGATGGATGAGTTAAGACTGCTCTAGGCATTGTTACCATGTGGGAGATTTGCAACTTAAGTTAAAAAACAGAATGAAGCTGGTAAAAAAAAAATTGAGATCTGCTTTCAATTTTTCTCTGTATTCATTAAATATGGCTTGGGCTCGTAGAGTTTATCAGGCTGTTGATACAGAATTCTTATTAATGGCCTCCTCAAATAGCAGGGGCTGAAGAGTCTGAAAGGAGCTCATTATTTATGGCTAGATGGAAGAAGAGCGAGACGTGTTCAACAGGGAATCATTTTACAGTGGAAGCCAATGCCATTTGGTACTTCTGCATTTTAGTGGGTAAGAAGGGATAAGAAAGCTACATCCCCAAGAAAGTTTCAAATGCCATATGCTGGAAGACTTGTGGGAGTGGGATTTTTCTCTGAACTTTCCCTAAAATGGAAAAGCATGATCTGAGAAAAGGTAGAAAAGATCAAAGAAGATAGCATAGAGGTTAAATTTTGAAATGAAAAATAAGGTATAATGCTAGAGCCAGATGGTTACAAAAAGGAAACAGTAGGAACAATCTCATTGGGGAAAAAAAACGGAGTAAAAATTTTAAAGATACAAGATGACTTTTAGCATAAGGATTATGATTCAGGAAAATAATAAAGGATAAAAGTTCACTCAGGAAAGAAATGATATGGAAGTTAGTAGGTAGAATAAGAGGCTTAAAGGATGCTTGCAGGAGGTCATTCAGTTGTGGGGAAACAGGTAGAGTTTGTTGCAAATGAGAAAGAGCTGGAATAGACCATATACTATTTACCTAAAGAGAGCAGAAAAAGGAAAAAATACCATTTAAGCCTAAATAGGGTGTAAAATTGTTTTCAATCATTCTATATAAATTTAGGTAAGTTATTATTGTGGAATATTTGCTTGGACATTATTATGAAATATTTATTTTTGAACAAAGAACAACTGATCTGGATTTAAAGAGTAAGATCAAGTAGTCTGAAGGATTTGGTTTGACTCTAATGGTATCAGTTGATGATAACTAATCAAGAACTCTTGTTCTCTCTGAAAAATTGCAGTGAAATAGCTCTAAGGTTGTCTTGCTTCCTACTGTTTCTGGTTGACCAGCTGTTGTAGTCTTGAAATAAAGAAATTTGAGCTTAGATAAGGCTTTATGGGAAAACAGGTGGGAGAAACATGCCTGCCCAGACCAGAGGCAGATGACCTTTCAGAAGTGGAATGCCAAGTTGCTGGGCCAGGTTCTCAGGTCAGCGGTGAGGGGTGGGGCACTGCAAACCTGGTAAGTGCCTTCCAGCACCACCTCCATCTCTTGGCAAAATGGGCCCCCATTCTTCTGTATTCTGTTTCATCCATTTTCCTTCAGACCCTTTTTTTTCTAATGTAATACTTTTGGGGAAAGTTAAACCCACCTGCTCTTCATCTGTCTGGGTAGCTACATAGATAATTGAATTGCTTTCCCTAGAGCTGAGGCAGAAAGGAGCATACCAGACTTTGAGGTTTCTCCCAGCAATCTGAAATAGGAAGTGAACACCGTGGAGTATGGCACATTTGAAGAGAGGGCAAAACTTAGGCCAGTAGAGACGGCGATATCAGGATTGCTGCACACAGGCAGGGCACAGGGAGAGAAGGAGCTGGAAATGAGTAAGGAACCATGGAGGTAGGTGGTGGGTGGGGAAATGACTTATCAGTCTTTGCAATGAAGTCAAAACCCAGGGGTGGTAAACCCTTTAGGTTTAACATAAAATACCTGAAGCACATGGACCAAAGTTTGCCTGACAAGTACCCTAAAGCCCTCTTAGGCATTATCAGCTGACAACAGCTAGAGCTGGAGCGTAATCACACATCAGCCAGGCAGAGCTGATAACGGATGTTATCAATATTTCACATCGTATCTGATCCTTTGAGTGCACTGAAATATCAGACCCAGCAATTTTAGAATGAAAAGGAATACGACAGAAAAGGCATGTTCCCTATTTATTGTTTCCTTTTGTTATCCAAAGGCAAAGGGAACTTGAACTTGAAAATTGGGGCCTTTGCCTGAAACACACGAACATTCCCCAAATATCCCACAGTGGATCCGTATGTTTCAGGAAGTTTCTCATTCGAGTTATATTTCCTCCTGGCATAATTAAAATCTATTGTTTTATTACTCTGTGTATAAAGTTGCACTGTCTTGTAATTTTCCCCAAATTCACCCTTTTTTCAAGCTTGCAAGGGAAGATCAGCCTTTCCACCATCCCATGATCTGACAAACTTATTTCCCTATCTGTGTTCTCCATCCATTGAGAACTCTGAACACAAAGCTGTTTGTATGTAGATGATGCTATTTCAAGGACCACGATTTTATAGTAACACTGATATTTCCATATTGGGGGTTGCGGTGTGGGATGAAGTCCCATTTTTCTTCAGCAATGACAGGATTCAGTAGGAAAGGTAGGTCTTTTTTATTCCTCCATGAACACTTTCGGTGGACTGATTCTCAGCCACACTGTTATAATTGGGTAAATGAGTTACACAGCTGGCCTCTGTGGCTATCACTGATGGCCTTGAATGCAGAAGGCGCTTGGGAGCCTGGGTTCTGGTACGCAGGCCTGATGGTGAATACCTGGGGTATGGTGTGGGCATGCGCAAGTGGGTACTCTTGTTCCTAGGAGGTCAGGGCTATAAGGGTGGCAGAGGGTGGCAGAGGAACGGCTATGAGAAGCAACCACAAGAGAACACCAGAGAGCCCAGAGAGAGTAAAGATTCACTGGGGACTGGGAGGGCTGACAACCTCCGGGCCCTCTGGCCTCCTTGCCTGCTGGCACCTGGTTGCCTCTCTACAAATGGTGTAGAAAGATCATTAAAAGCCTGGAAAAGGCCACTGAGGAGCTCCAGTACTCTCATTTACCCGTCTGCCCTGATCATAGAAAACTTGGTCTGCGCCTTGCTGGCACTACAGGAACTATATACTCTTCTCATCCCTGATTGTATGGCAATCACATACAAAGTTCTGGGATTTCTAGATAATCTAGCTGCAAGAATTTATCTTTCTTTGCTATTAGTCAGCAACTTGGGGACATTTGTAAACCGTGGCACATCCATCTGAATTTAGCTGTTGAACAAAAGAGGAGCCATTTACTGCTCTCTCTTGACACTTTGGTTGTGACAGGTGGCAAGAAATACTATCACAGCACTGTCGTGGAGGCAAATTGAAACTGTAGGCTTGAACTTGAAAAAGCCTTTAGAAATGTTTTATTGAAAGGTTATTTTTCCACCTGAAGCTGATTGATTTCACTTCCCAAGTGCAATTATCCATTTGTTACAAGCTGCTCCCGTGTCTCAATAGTAAAAACTCAGTTGGGCGATGTTTCCCTTTAGTCTCCTCTTGGTAAAGCGCAGCATTAAACATTGATCTTACTATAATAGAGTCACTTCACAGAGTTAAAGAGAGAAAGAAAGGTTTTCTAGAGAAAAACTTAGTGGTAAGTGAAAGAAACACCAGTGAAGCATTCATAAGCATCTGGCTTTTAGGACTGGTGCAGACACACACTGGCTATGAATGGTTTGCTTTTTTTAAACCAGGAGCTTCAGCATTTACTGACATTTTGGGTGAGATGATTCTTTGTAAGTAGACTCTCCTGTGCCTTACATTTCACAGCAGCCCTGGCATCTACCCATTTGAAGCATCCCTTGTTCCACCATCCTTGGGACAGTCAAAATGCCCTCCAGACAGCCCCGGGAAGCAAAATCATCTTTTGTTAAGCACTGTCTTCCTAAGTGTTAGCTTCCTCATCTGTACAGCAGAACTAAGGAGAGTGGAGACCTGCTGTTGGCTTAAGGTGAAATGATTCATTTGAAATGCTAATAGGCTACATGAATACAAACTATTGTTCTTTTGTAGACATATTTATTTATTCACACATTAAAATTTAGAGATCTTCCTATGTAACAACTTTGGCAGGTCACAGTGGACAGAATAGGATGGATGTGTTCAGGAGAAATTCTTTACAACTGCAGAATCAGGAGTTAGTATTTATAGGCACATCAGTGTTTTGAACATCAGCATAACCAGCTAAACAGTTTCAAGTGCCAAATGGGGATTTGATATAAATTTCCATTGAGGGTTATTCTAATTTGAAGATCTTTGACAATAAGGACATTGTAATGGGATTAATACTCCTAGAATCATAAATATCCATTTCCTAGAAGCTTATTAATTTCCAGTTATTGATTAATTAATTTCCCTTCATGTTTGTTAAGTTGCTGGAAATTTCAGACACAGTAGGCAAGACCTCAAAAGCATGCTGCTCAGAATGAAGCTGTAGACCTCTGGTAGGTCTTCTGGTAGAATTTTCCACCTCTAAAAAGAGTTAAGGAGGTCAGAAGACATGGCTGTAGAGCAAAGAGCCTAGAGGGAAGGATGGCTAAGGTGTTCAAATCAAGAGCAAAATCTATTTGGTATTGTTGAAAGGACAAAAGGAATCTCAGGTCAAGTCCATGCATAGCAGGAGCAAGTATGACACAGAGGCAGGAATGGAAAATTTCTGAAGGAAACCTAGAGTATCCTGATTTTTATGTATTTTGCTGGGATCTAGAACTCCTAACATGCTCATGAGATCTTAACAGCTAGAAGGTCTTCCTGGTGTACTCTTTATTCCTTCATTTTTTTAAATAATGTGACCCCCCAAAAAAATCATGCAAGAAGAGGTCCTTTGCACATAATTCTTTTTTATTTTCTAACACAAAAAGAAGGCTGCTGAATACAACTGTTAGGTGCATCTGTCTCCTTGTGCAAGCCACGGTTGCATAATGCCAAGCAAATGCTTATAAAAGAATCAGAAGCACAAACAAAATGAATTTTAAAAAGATGAAAAGAGTATGAGTATCTTGTTACTGGTAGTGACAACTCAAATAGACCAAAAACATGAGGTAACACTGGAAAACTGAGGGCACAGAAGTAAAGACAATCACCAGAAATGGGGACCTGGATTTGGGGTTTATTTAGTTCCCATAATAGGAGTTTAAAATATACAAATCCATAAATTTGGAGCAGTGGTGGAATATCTAAACTGAAATGATTTTTTTTCCTCCTCATTTAAATCCATTATGCTTCTCAAGAAATACTTACTTCACCTGATGTAGCTTCTATAGCAAATGTGCAGTTGTACTGTATATTTTAAAACAACTGTAGTGGTTTTTTTTTTTTTTTTGATCGACAATATTGGAGAAGAAAAAGGATATTGCTTTAGAATCTGAGACTGTCTGGGACTTTAAATTTTAGCAGATAGAGAAAACTTCCGTGTGATAGGGGACATTTTCCTCTTGGGTTTAAACCTGTAATAAAATGTTGCTGACAGACTAATTATAAGTGTTTTATATATTTCCTGCATATGTGCTCCTCTCTAAACCAATTTAATTCCCATTAATGCTAATCTTGTTAATACCCTCTCAGAGAGTAAAGGGATACTCTTAATAAACTATAGATTTATCTGAGCTATTTAGATGGGAGATGGGCAGTTACAGAAGGGAGAAGAGGAAAAGCTACCATTTTATCCACATCTGCATTTCTCAGAATATTTCTCCAATATGAATGAATATTAGGTTATTCATAGGTATAAATAAATAGGAAGTGGGGGGAAAAATAAAGTGAAAAAGTAAGTCTTCCACCCATGAAAAATAAAGGCATTATAAATGAGTTGCTGATTGACTTTTTTTTTTTTTTTAGTACTAGCTCCAAGGTTAGAAATGAGATATTACAATGAGCAGCAGATTTTCTTTGCTAAAAAGAGGTAAAGAAAAATGAGCTTAATACTTGGAAACTCATTCTGAAGTGGATTTTTCTTTTAACAAAAGAAGTTAAAGAACGCCTAGCTGAGTTATGCTCCAGCCACATCTGTCCTGTTCTAAGCTGACAGTCCATGTGATCAATACAAGAATCCAATAATTCCTCTCAACCTCAGTCAAGTTGATTTCCCTATCTCAGAGTATATCCCAAGCCAAGACTGAGTCTCAAGTGATGTTTTGTCCAGATCTGAGTGGTTTCCAGGATCCCATGTAACTCCTGTGGTGGAATGCCATAAGGATCACCGGGAGCCTAGATATCAATAGAAGACCCTCTCTGTCCATCTATATCATCCCCAAACTAGCTAATTGTTTCTAAAACATTCTATTTCTCTTTCTCTGTGAAAAAGTCACATGACAGAGGGAACAAATGGAAGATGGGGTTTTGTCCAGGGTCCACCATCTGGCCTAATGCTAAGCCATTTAACCTCCCTGAGACTCAGTTTCCTTACCTGGAAAATGGGGAACATAAATTCTATGTACTATGTTCTTACACCACATAGTGTAAGGATAAAAAAAGATACTTTGTCATAACTCTGAAGTGGTAATTTAATAATAAAGAGACATTATTATTATTATTACTATTATTATTATTGGGGAAATTTAAGAAAAATGGCACAGGAGAAAATTACAGGGAGAAAAACATAAGTCTGAGTATCAATTTTATCTGTGCCTTGAGATGGAGATTGGTTGATTTACCCCTAGAATTTTCGTTGTTTTAATGGCAACAGATGCTCATACTGTGCAATTGTGTATATATAAATCATAAAAGAAAAACTGAAATATTTAGATGAGTGAAATTTTCTTTTTCGTTTGGTGTTGGTTACACATGAAGACGGAGGTGAAGGTGAGAATAATCGCTTAACATTCATTAAAAAAAATACTGAAACAAATATTTTCAGCACAAATATTAAACTGCTTTTTCTCTACCGACTGATAAAAAAATATATTATATTTTCATATTTTTTTTTTCTTTTTAAATTATATGATTATCCATCCCAGCCAAAGTCGTGCCCGGTCATCTGGTAGAACTTCAGGTTGAAGGGCCGGTAGAACTCCCGCAGTCTCTGCACCACCTCGCGGTCGATCTCGGGGTGGGTCCTGCCCTTGGTTTTGCCCAGGCAGTGGGGTTTGCTGCTGCCCTCGGCCTTCTTCAGGCAGGGGAAGCCCTTGGTCTTGTTGAAGTAGAAGTGCTTGTCGGTGATGATGCGCTTGAGGCCCAGGAAGTCCTGCACGCGGCCCAGCTCGCCGGCGGGGTCGCTGATGAGCCGCTCCCCGCTGACGAAGAGCATCTGGCCGAGCGGGAAGTGCCGCAGCCAGTGCTCCAGGTGCTTGGCGTAGATGCCGATCTGGATGGCGCTCCACGACGTGTCGATGAGGCCCGTAGTTCGGTTTTTGAACGTCAAGCTCTCGAAGGTGGGGATGTCGGGCCGCTTGGAGAGCGTCTGCGTGTAGTCCGAGATGGCCCTGGTCACCGGGTCGCGCACCACCACGATGAGCTTGGTGTCCTTGGACATGGCCGAGATGCGCGCGGGCGCTTCCCGGGTCACAAAGTAACTGGGCGTCTTCTCCATGGTGATCTGGCCGTCCAGGGTTCTGGGCATCAGGTCCCTGAGAAGAGCAAAAGGACTTGTTAGAGCCTGGAAAAGGAGCGAATTCCCCTGATTGACATCAAGGGGGAGTGCATGGAGAGGGGAGGACCCACATGGCCTACACCCCCCTACATACTAGATGTGTAACTGCCACAAGTTGTGTGAACACTCTGCGCCTCTGGTTCTTCATCTGCTCAACTGGAAGTAAAAATCATGTCGATCGCATATGGTTATGGTAATGATTAAACGAGTTAGTATACCTCCATAGCCTTGAACAGTGCCTGGCACAGAATAAATGCTAAGTAGTTTGTATTTTTTTGAATTACGGTAAGAAATAAACTTCATAAAATTCTTTAGATGAATTAGAAAACTATAATAAACAATTATACTGCTATAAGATATTAAGATACCCAGAGTCCTTTCTATAGATTTTATAACAAACTATTATATTTAAAATAATATCATAGCATATTACACAAAACACTTACTGAATTTTCCTGTATCACACTACTTATTAAATAATGTATATTTTATCTGATAATTTGAAATGTCATCTTTACAGTCGTCTAAATATCTTGGATCTCTCTACATCTAAATATCTTGTGTTATCATGTTATAGCATATTTTCATGGATGCCAAAGTAAATTTTGACTCTTGTTCAAAATGTTCTTGATGATTCTTTTCTGTTTATTTTTCCTGATGAATGTTAGAATCACTTTGTCATCTTGAAAAACAATCTCCTTGGAGTCTGGATGGAGCAGATACTGTTACTAGATCAAGCATGTGATCTTCTGAGAACTGATGGTCTCAGCCAGTCACAAAGTATGAGACAGAGAGATAAAACCAACTTATTCTTCCAACATAAGTGTATGGCCATTAAACCCACTATTTATTCACTGTCTAATTTCAAGTTTTATAAGAAATAGGTGGTATTAGCATACATGTCTTTGGGGGCTTTATTGCAATGACTAAATATATTTTGATCCACAGATAAAAAGAATCAAATTTATAACTGTCCTTATATTGAGTTCACTTTTATTCTTAGAATGAACTGCCTTTGATCATGGTACACTACTCTTTTAGTATAATTCTAGATTTTGAGCATAATTATTTTGTTCTACATATTCATACTCATTAATGAGATGTTCCTATGGTTTGCCTTTTGCTCAAGAGCTTAATTGATTGTTAAAATATGAATTATTACACAAGTAAATGAATTGAGACATTATATATTATTTTATATCCTAGTGAAATTTAAGTAACATAATTTTTCATTTCTTCAAAATTTGATGGACGCCATCATTAACACTGGTGCTTTTGGGGGTAAGAGTAGAAAAAAGGTAAAATCATCATATATCTTTTTAGTTTCTTTTGTAGTGAAAAGTATTTTGAAATCCTTTGCTTTGGGGGGTCTGTCAATTTTGGCAATTTACAATTTTTTAAAAATCACCCAGTTGAGTAGTTGAAATGTTAGCCCCAATCTCAACCATAATTCTGTGGTTTTCTGCCCCTTTTCTGTTTTATAGGTTAGATTATCTTTTTAAATTCACTGGTTTACATTTTATTTTTAACGCCCCCTTATTTCTTCTAGTTATGCTTTGTTGTTCTTCCAATTTATTTAACTTAATTCTTAGTTCATTTATTTTCAATCTTTTGAGTAATAAAAACATTTTGAGGCTAATCTCTTGTCCTTTAAGTCAAATTCCAGAAGCTTTGATGTATACTTTTGTCATTTTCCTACTTCATAATTATTTAGTAATTGCAGTTTTGGGGGTAATCTGGTTATCAATTTCTATTTTGACTTTGTAATAATAAAAGCACTTTGTGTTATGTGAGTTTGCCTTTCTTGATGTCCTATAATTTTGTCCCACCTTCATTATTTGCTAACTGTATATTATAAACAATTTCAAATATGCACATAGAAAGAACCCAGAAAGAATTGTAACATAATTCCATGTACCTGATGTCCAGCTTTGAAAATTAATACTTGGTGGCTGATTTCATTTTATTCAGTACCTCCGTTTCTACTCCCCCACTACCTGAAATGGATCATTTTGAAGTCTTTCTCAGACATCCTATCAGTTGGCTCATAGACATTCAGATACTTATCTGCATTATATCTGATATAAATTCTTCAACATCTGTAACGTTAAACCACTGGGTTACCCATCCTGCCTTGGTTTAATGATTGCTTTTGCTTTCTTAATGTTTCAGTAAGATTAGCTTTACTTTTCTTTGAAAGCAGAAAATGCTAATTAGATGTCTGATTGGTGTTGATTTTTTAAAAAGAAAATTTTGATTCTTTTTTCAAAAGAACTTTTTTGTGCTCCATTCGTCACTCTTTAAGCATACCTTAAAGACTGGATAAGGTTAAGCAAAGGCCAAAGAGTTAGATGTTGACAGAAGAGACACAGATTGTCGTCACCACCTATCCAGTGCTATGTGACAGGAACTAAGGTTTTGTCCCTGTGTAACTCCCTTCATAGAATTGAGATATTAGCTAGGCCAACCTACTTTGGTAACTTAGCTTATGCTTTTAGATGAGCCAGGAAATCTCTCCAGAAGTTTTTGGAATAAGTCAATGAAAGAAATTTGATCAAATGTGTGAAAAGGTTTTTTACTGTAAAAGCAAATATTAAATATCACTGAAGTGATAAGGGGTTATTTGTTGATTAAAATGAAGCCAGCATAAAATAATCTTGCCTGCATTCTTATAATCTATGAGTTTTAGCTACTCTAGCTAATATTTTGGTCAGTAAAATAGAGATAACATACTTCGCTCGGGAGCTACTGGCTGGTAATCTCAGCCTTTCTATTTTCTTGTCTCTGGGGGAATGCACAGGGCCCCAGCTGCCTTTCAGCAGAGATGAAAGTTGTAGATTGTGCTGGGCCAGAAGAAATACTGCTAATATCTCTGCGGAAAGAAACCATATTTTAAATTATCTCAGCAGAGTAAGGGAAAGAGCTATCCAAGTAGGAGGAGTTTGAAGAGGAAATGGCTAAAATAGAATTTCAGAAGCAAAACACACTAATAACTGTCATCTATAGGATGAGGAACACTGGCTTAGCATGGGGAAAGGTGGGGGGAGCAGGGTTAACTATTAGTTGCCTGCAAACTACTTTTTATGAAACGAAGAAGAGTCTAAATAAACAAGCTTCCATTGTAAAGAATAGATGCTCTGTTGAAGAACTCACAACGGGATTCTTTATAAAAAGTAGTCTCCTTTTAAAATTTCCTTATTCGCTGTTTTATTTAAATCTGAATTTTAATGTTCAAAAACGATCTCGCCTATCACATAAAGTCTCATGTAATTCAGAATATCATTGTTCAAACTGCTTAGGAGAGCTTAGACGTTGTCCTTCCTTACCTGAGGGAGATATGTGCTGTGACTATGTTGTGTGCAAGGGCTAGGGCCTGGGATGGGCCAGGAAAGAGCATCCAAGTATCCTAGAAGCTTGGAGAAATACCAGTCAGGCTATGGGAGCAGAAGGCTGTGTGCAATGAAAAGATATATGAGGTTTGCCTGAAGATGGGAGAAGCTGGGATGAGGAGTGAGGCATTCAACTGGCCAGTGGGCGAGAGCGGTCCTGGGAGGCACTGATTCCCAGGCTAACAGTGTAGCTACTCCACCTTCCTCTCTAAATAGTAAAAAGGATTTGGAGATATGTACAGTAGGTATGGGATGGGGAAATGGGTAGTACTCTAAATTGCAAGGGAAAATAGGATAACATAAAAAATTATGTTTTCTCCTGAAAACCAGGATAAGAATGGGCTTCTCAGACAAATTAAGGATTATCTCAAGGTGGGTTGCACACATTTGCACTTTTCTCTCAAAGGATGCAGTAAGAATTCACAATAGCCAAAGAGAGAAGCAATCCCAAGTGTGCATTGATAAATAAGTTAATAAAAAGGTGAACAGTGGGACTCCCTGGTGGCACAAGGGGTTAAGCGCCGCACTGTGAAGCTATTCGCAGCCTCTGCAGCATGAGTTTGATCCCCGGCCAGCCAGGGAGCAACCCACATGGCAAGGCAGACCTCTCCTGGCTCACCCGCTGCTCCCCTCAGCATTGTACTTCAGTCAGTCTGCCTGTTCTGTTCCCCTCTCTGTCTCTGGTGAATCCTCTCACCCCCCACATCTCTGGCCTGTACCCCAGCTGTTGAATGCATAAATAAATACTTAAAAAAAAAAAGGTGAGCAGAGAACATTATGCTAAATGAAATACTTCAGTCACAGAAGAAGAAATCTGTATGGTTACACTTATAAGAGATACCAAGGAGTCAAATTCATAGAGAAACTAGAATGGTAATTTCCAGGAGCTGGAGAAGGGGATTGGAGAGTTGTTTATTGGGTATAGTTTTAGTTTAGCAAGATTTTAGTTCCAGAGAGTAATTGCTCAACAGTGTAAATGTACTTAACTCTTGCGAACTGTACTCTAACAATTAAGATGGTAAGTTTTATTTTTGTCTATTTTACCATAATTTATTTCAAAAAATCACCAAGAGGACAATGACTTCAGTTTCATCAATAGAATTTAATTAGACAAAGGAGCCTTTTTGGCTTTGCATATCATTAAACATTAGAACAAATACTAATGTTTGACAAGGAGGTTGTGGCTTTGCTTTCCTCTTGCTAGACCAAAGGGGAATATAATGATGGATGAGATTTTGTGGAAATATCTGAAAACAGAAAAGTGGCCAGTCTCTGCCCACTTTCAGTGACATGACCATGAGATGGCCATTTAATCTCTTAATCTCAGTTTCTTCACCTCACCAGAAAAATCAGGCCAGCATCTGGGAAATCTGTAAATGGGGTGGTGGCATGACCATGGCTACCGGGGACACACTAACTACTGTTGTTAAGACACCCCATGTGGGCCTCCCTGGTGGCACAGCGGTTGAGCGCTGGGCTGAGAAGCTGCCCACAGCCTCTGCAGTGACGGTTCAATCCCCAGCCGCTGGCGAGGGTCCCACATGGTGTGCAGACCTCTCCTGCCACGCTCACTGCTCCCCTCAGCAGT